TGCTGGGTGGAAGTGGGTCTGGGAGGGCGTTGGTGTGTGACAGGAGATGGAAGTCACTGGATGAGTTACCCTGGACATAGTGGCCAGACCCCCCAACCCAGAGGTCAGACCCCCCAACCCAGGGGTCACTCGGCTTCTGCTCAGGGGCACTGAGGGGACACAGTCACTGCACGTGGCTTTCAGCTGCATCAGAGCTGTGACAACCCCCCAGAGCTCCCTCAGAGCTGGGAACCTCAGAGTTCCCTGTTCCAGGCCCTCTGAATGCCTTAACGGAACTGACACGTGAATTATGCGAGTTTAAGTCATCTTTAGCAGCTGCTGATAAAAGTTGAATTTGTTTTCCAGCTCCCTGATGGAGTCAATATTTCCAAAGAAGCCCGGAGCGCGATATCCCGAGCAGCAAGTGTGTTTGTGCTGTATGCAACATCCTGGTAAGGACTGGCTGCAGCTGAGTGATAATTCTCCTCTCTGCTGGCCTGGAGACTCTTTCCCAGTGTTTGTTTCTGTATTGTCTGTATCAATAAACCCTGCCAGGTTGCAGCAGGTGGGTTTTAACTGCCTGTAACAACCCATGGGAAGGCAGCTGGGCTGGGGACACAGAGATGTCCCAAAAAGAGGGGCCCCAAACTGCCATTAACCTTAGAACAAGGCTGCACGTTCTTCCTGGCAAAGGCAGGAGCACTTGGCTCACTTTTTATTTAGGCTCCTCGCCACATCACTGTGTTAGGGAAAGTGTGAGCCAGCCTGGAGCTGCCACAGAGAACACTGTCAGGTTTTTGGGGTGTCCAGGCAGTCACTTCTCTGGTGTCAAGTACTCACAGGGCTGTGGGGAACTGCCACAGCCAGTGTTCAGGTTTTCTCCTTCCCCTTGCTTGTAGATAAGGTCTGTGCAAGCAGAAAACTCATATAGGAAAGCACAAACAGCCAGTGTAAACAGGAAGGTGTCTCAAACCTCCATTAGAAAGAGATAAAAAAAACTCCTAAATGTTTAGGAGATGGCTTTTATGTTTTTTTAAGTTGCTCGTGACTTTTAATAGACCAGACTAAGTTGATGACAGTTCCCAACTGCCTCTCTTTTACATCTTGTTTTTGCCTTGTTTTTGCCTAGTGCAAATAACTTTGCCATGAAGGGGAAGAGGAAAACGCTGAATGCTGGTGACGTGCTCTCTGCCATGGAGGAGATGGAGTTCCAGAGGTTCATGGTCCCTCTGAAGGAATCCCTGGAAGGTACAGGCCTTCGTTTGTGTCCGGAGAGTCTGATTAGCACCGAGTCGTGTTTTCCTCGAACGCTGGACAAGCAACACTTACTTGCCTGTCTTGTTTCTCTTCTCTTTGCCCAGCATCCTACACTGCAGTTTGCCTGGGGAATAACTAATGTGCACCTTAACGGGACTGGGATAACATTATTGCACAACTGATGAGGATTGAGAAAGTCTCATCTGCCCTCACTCCCCTATTATGTTTATCTAAGGAAAGCCGTAGGTGCTGCCTGTAAATGTGAACTCCTGCGTCCTTTTCAGCATTTTTCTGCTGAAATTTAACCTGATTTCCTATGGAGCTGCTCAGCACAGCTCAGCTCGTAGGGTGAGTTGCTGCTCTGAGTTCCTGCTCCCCTGGTGAGCCGGGAGAGCAGGGGGGTGTTGGAGCTCAGCCGCCGCCCTGTCCGTGCCAGGTCCTCACTGCCCCCTCTCCTTCAGTTTACAGGCGTGAGCAGAAGGGAAAGAAGGAAGCCAGGAAAGATAAAGACAAGAAGGCAGACTCAGAGGAGCAGGATAAAAGCCGAGAGGAAGAAAATGATGACGATGATGAAAGGATGGAGGAGGAAGAGCAGAACGACGAGGAAGAGGTGGACAACTGAGCTGGCTGAGAGGGGCTGGGCTGTGTGCAGAGGGATATAAACACTGTAAATCAACCCTGCTGTGTCCCCTCTTGTTTCCCTTAGAGCTTTGTACTGTCCCTCTGCAGCCTGTCCCTTTTGGGCTTTAATTTGGACATAAAGGACTTGTGCTGAAGCTTTTTCCGGGGCAGGGCAGCTCCTCCTGGTGCCTGGGGGGCTTGGCCCCCTCCCTCCTCTGGGCAGAGCTTTGATGCTGGGTTGGCTCTGAAATAGAGGAAAAAAGAGCTGGCAGGTGCTCAGTGCAGAAGCTGGTCGGGAGAACATGGGAACTCTTGAATATCAGGGGCTGAATCCAACAGACCATTAACCCTCTGGGGTGTAGAACCCAGATGATGATGTCAGGAGGCTTGGAAGCTGGACATTTAAGTTTTGATCCAAGGGACTCATTTTTTCCCTGTGTTCCCTTGCATCCTGGCTGTGCCTTCTCTCCCTGCTGTGCTGTGACAGTGCCTCTGTCCTTCAGCCTGAGCAGCGCTACAGGGGCCACGAGTCCACTCACTGATCACCCAAACCACCCTAAATCCAAAAACTTCACAGCACTGGAAGTGTAAACAGAACACTGAAAGTGTCTTTAGAGCCCTGAGAGACCAAGAGGAAATTAATTTAACATCTGAAGCAAAATGAAGGGCTAAAATGAGTGTCAGGGGTACGAAGAGGTGGCTTTGTGCAGTGCTGGGTGTGGTGGTGTCACCTGTCCCTGCTCTGAGGAGCTGCAGCTCCTGCAGCAAGTTTAAATGTGGCAGAACAGAGTGGTGGATTGTGGTGCCTTGTTTTTGTTTTTTTTTTTAATTTTCCCAATGGGAATGGACTAATTCCATCCAAGGTCCCTCTGTAGCCTTCACCAGTCATTCCAGGGACATGGATCCCTCCAGATGCAATGGGCAGGATGTGCCCACCCAGGAGGCTCAACCTCAGGTTGAGCTGTGGAAAAGGCTCCTGCAGGAAAAGAAGGTTGAAAGAAGCTGTTTGTATCCCTTGTGCCTGTGTAGGTTTGTGCTTTTCCACTTGGATTGTTAGTTTTGATGCCTTTCCTTTCTCTCTCTGAGAAGGTACCTATAGAGGAAGCTCCTTTCAGGGGAAAATGCTTTATTTGACTTTTTGAAGACTAATACATCCAATGTTTGAATTTAACAGATGGGTGAAGGAAACCTGAGGAAAGTTTTAAGTGCATCTAAGTAGAACCCACGAGTTTTGCTGATGTGCAGTTTTAAAATAGCACTTGTGGGGACTCATAGATCCTTTCCACCAAAAGAAATTGCTGCAGAGCCACCCACAAGAGCCAACCCTGCCTTCCTGCTTTTCTGGCACACTGGATTTTCACACACTCAAGGCCAGCTCCTGAAAAAGAACTGAATCAACACAGATTTTCTGCTGTCTAGTTTCTGCTGGCCTGCAGTCAGCACATGGAAAGCCTGAGCCTGAATGTCTTCCCAAACATCTCTGATAAACACCTGCCTTCCAGCTCTTTTTCTTTCTTTTTTTCTCTTCAGTACATATCTGGGGTGCATATTCTGGAAAGGAATGATGCCTAAATAAAAGCCAGATTTTTTTTTTATAGAAGTGGAGTCTCATATTTCGGGCAGTTATAAAATGAGCAGGTTGTGGTTGTGTAAGGGGGAACAGAGGGAGCAGCCAAGGCAGGAGCAAACACCCTGGGAAATGGGTTCTGGAGCAGCTGATGGCAGGAGGAGGATGAGGGGAGGATGAAGGCTGTGAGAAGAGCAAGGGAATTGAGACTGGCAAGAAGGGGGAGATTTCCAGGTCTCGGAGAAGCAAAGTTGGGGTGCTGCTGTTTGTCCTGCTGGAGGAACAAGCTCAGCCTTGCTCCAGGGAGAGCCTCCAGGCTGGGGGGATAGACAGATCCAGGGGCTGGGTCCAGGGTTTCTGCCCTGCAGCAGGCCAGGGAATGCTGCTATGGCATGGGAGCTGCAGGATCTCCCAAAATAAACCCAATCCCAACATCTCCCCTGCACTGGAGAGACCAAGGTAGTGGCAGTGCTGCTGGGCCTGCAGTGGGGCTGCAGCTTCTCTGGGCCTGGCAGGCCCCCAGCCCCCCAAAGCCCTGCTCCACATCCCTCTGCAGCCCCCCAAAGCCCTGCTCCAGACTTCTGCAGCCCCACAAACCCTGCTCTCTCCCACCACAGCCTCCCAGCCATGCTCCCTGCTCACACAGCACCCCAAACGCTGCTTTCTGATCCTCAGCACCCCAGTACCCTGCTCTGGTGCCGCCAGAACCCCCAAAACTGGCTCCAGGTCCTCCCACAGCACCCTAAAACTGGACTGCATGTCCCCCCAGCACCCCAAATGCCTGCTCTAGCCCCCCTCGGAACCCCAAAACCTGGCTCTACTTCCCCCCCTGCAGCACTTCAAAACTGGACTGCATGACCCCCCACCACCCCAAAGTCCCGCTCCACACCCCTGCAGCACCCCAAAGATTTGTTCCAGCCTCCTCCAGAACCCCAAAAACTGCCTCCAGGGCCCCCAGAACCGCAAAACCTGGGCCCAGGTTCTCCCACAGCACCCCAAAAATGCACTGCATGCTCCCCAGCACCCTCAAGCTCTGCTCCTCAGCCCTGCAGTCCCCAAAACCCTGCTCCAGCATCTGCAGAACCCCAAAACCTGGCTCCACGTCCCCCTGCAACACCCAAAAACTGCACTGCATGGTCCCCCAGCACCCCAAAGCCCTGCTCCCCCCCCCCCCCCCCCCCGAGCCCCACTGGGGGTTCCACTTCCCCCCACAGCACCCCAAAACTGGACTGCATGACCCTCCACCACCCCAAAACCCGGCTCCACAGCCCTGCAGCCCCCCAAAACTGCACCGCCTGGCTCCCTAGCACCCCAACGCTCTGCTCCGCGCCCCCGCAGCCCCCCAAAATCCTCTTCGAGCGCCCCCAGCACCCCAAACCTGGTTCCAGGTCCCTCCCCAGCACCCTAACACAGGACCACATTCTCCCTCAGCCCCCCAAAGCCTGTCTCCTGCCCCCTCAGCACCCCCATCCCCGCCCCAGCCCCTTCACCCCCCAAAAACTCCTCCTTCTCCTCCTCCCCGCCCCTCCCGCCCTTTTCCCGCGCGGCGCCGCGCGAGACTTCCCGCCACCACTCCCCCGCGGGGGCGGGGCTATGCTGATGAGGGGCGTGGCCATGCAAATCGCGAGGGCTCGGGGGCAGAGAGGCGGCCGGAGCGGACACGGCGGGCGGTGAGTGCGGGACCGGGAATGGGATCGGGATCATGGATCAGGGATCGGGGGTCCGGGACCGGAGCCGGGGCTGCCCCGAGGCCGGGATGGCCCCAGGGACGGGGCCCGGCCGGGCAAGGAGGCAGCGCTTGGGTCAGGCAGGAAGGGCAGCCCCGGGTAACGCAGCAAGGACAGCCCGGGGTTTGCCCGGTGTTACTCGATTTTTGCCCGGTTTTGCTCTCTTTTTGCCCAGTTTTGCTCGGTTTTTGCTCGGTAGCCGTGGCAACGGCGGGGCAAGCACGGAGCAGCGTGTGATGCTCCGAGCTGGCAGCGGTGCTGAGCTCCCGCCCGTGCTGGGGTGTGATTGCAGACCCCTGGGCACCCCCGTGCCCATCCTGGAACAGGAAACCTGCTGGAAGGGCTTCACCTTCGTTAGTGACTCTTAATTAACGCTGTTTCGTCTTGACCTTTGCTACTGACTCTTAATTAACGCTGCAACAGCTTGACCTTTGTTAGTGGCCGTTAATTAACCCACAGCTCCGTTGGCTCCCTTTCCTACAACACCCCAGTGTGTCCCTTCTCCCACCGGGGATTTTGGGAGTTTGCGTATCCCTGGGATTTAGCTAAATAGTTGTATGGCACAGGATGAGGCCACATGCGCTTCTGTGTCCTAAAAACATCTTCCTCCAGCCTCGTGTTGGCACTGAACAAACTCCCCCTGTTCGAGGGGGCGTCGGGGGCCGGGGCAGTGCCGGGTCCGGCTTTACCCGGGGCAGTGCTGGGTCAGGCTGCAGCCCGTCCAGGGGGTTTGTTTGGTTTGTGGCGGTGCCAGGGGCCAGCACCGTGTGCCGGGTTGTCCCTGGGCAGCCGCTTCTCTTCCCTCGAGGGCAGCGAGGCACCGCCACGAACCCGGGCTGGGCAAAGAGTGGGTTCGAGTGCTGCGGGTTTGGGCTGGTCCCGGTGTGCGGGAGCAAAGGTGAACTCAGGGAGAGAGCTGCAGGGCTGCCCTTGAGTTCCTGGAGCTGCAGGACTGTGCTTAACCTCCTGCTGGAGTTGCAGGGCTGTCCTTAACCCCCTCCTGGAGCTGCTCCAGTGTGCACGGAGCGAATGGCTTTAGAAAGGCAGATTTGGGCCGCGAATGTGGGAGGAAGGCAGGCGTGCTGTGCCGGGAGCCCTGAGGGATACCGGGGGAACAGCCCCAGCCCGGGGTGAGCGTGTGGTGCAATGTCCCCTGTCTGCCCGCTCCTGCAGCCCGTGCCCTGTGTCTGTGCCCTGTGTCCCTGCCCGTCGGGCGGGTCGGTCCCGGCTGTGCCACCCCGGTGCCCTGCACAGGGAGCAGCTCCTCCTGCTCGTGGGGCTGGTGAGCAGGACCCGGCTCAGGCTCAGCCCCACCAGGGCCCACCCGTCCCGGCTCTTATCTCCTCCCTACCATCCCACCACGTGCCCATCCCCTCCTTGCCCGGAGAGGGCAGTTTCTGGAGCTGTGGCCTCTATCTGTCCCATACAGTCAGGTGCCCCCGGTCCCACCCGGCCCCCCTGCCCTTGCTCCGCTGGGATTAACTGTTTAGAGCATTTTTTGGATTCTCGAGGTGGGTTTTGTTCACTGAGCCCTTTGTTTGCCGCGGCTCCCTGGAGCCAGGCACCGTGGGGAGCTGCCAGCTCCGGTTCACCCGAGGGCTGTCCCCTTCCCTGGAGCGAGGACTGGAGCGGCAGCTTTCCAAGGGCTAAAAATGACCTGCCAAGGGATGCCATGGCGCTGCCAGCCTGCCTGTCAGCTGCTCTGCGTCCCCCACAAGCACCACCTGATTTTTTTATCCAGTGTTTTTGTCCGTGTAACCAAGAGGGGCCTTTCCCCATCCACAGAGGTGATTCCTCGGGGTACCAGAGGCTCGATTCCAGCCCTGGGCAATGCAGTGCCCCTGTGTTCCAAGTGCCCTGGGCACTGGGTGGGTCTGACACAGACTGAGTTTGGCTCAGTAGTAGAATATCTGACGGGTCTTGAGTGTGTAAAATAGGTGAACACCTCAGATTAAAGGTTTTCCCAAAGTGAAAATGAGCCATCTCCTGCACAGCTCCGTTGCTGACTGGTGTTGTGGGTGCCATGGACTCTGTCCTGGGATGCTCTGAGCTGTGCCTGAGCTGTGCCTGTTCTCCAGAGGGCTGGGTACAGGCAGGGGGTCAGTGAGGTTCATTGCCTGGGGAATCTCTCCTGGAATGGGACTGGAGAGCACAGGGCTGCTCCCCTGAAATGAGTCCCATCCTCCTGCCACTCTGTCTCCCTAGGGAAGACCTGCCCTGCCCAGGGGTAGTCAAAGGACTCCACTTGCCCTTTCAGAGCCCATCTGAGCTCTCCTCCTGCCCACCTCCCAAAAATCCCACACTCTCCAGTAGGGCCTCTGCTTTGTCTCCCAGTGCCCCCCGGCTCCTCAGCACAGGGGGTTTGGGGGATGTGGCCCTGTGTGTGCAGCCACAAGTCCTTGAAGCTGCTCTGCACAAACAGTCTGTGGTTGGGGTTGTGCTTTCCAGGGCTGTGCAGCTGCTCCTTCTGTGCTGCAGCCAAAGAAATGCCTCGTCCCAGGAGAGCCGCCTTCCCACGGCCCCTTCCATCACACCCACCAGCAACGCGGTGTGAGAATTTAGTGCTCATGGAAATGTAAATCTTAGTGGTCTGATCACAGAATTATTACTAATCTGTTAGAGAAGAAGAAAATATTGCTGCAGAAGAACTTTCAACAACAGCGGAGCCAATGATTGATTTATGTGTGTTCAGTACCTGCTCTTTGTTACCTCAGAAACCAGTTTTGCCCAAGTCCCCAGTTTTCTTTACCCAGCAGTAAGTGGCCACTGGAGTTGTGTGACTGGGGGGTTTAGAGCCCTGGTGTCCTCAGGATGATCCTGCCCCTTTCTCATCCAGTGCCCCTCCTCTGCTGTAACTGTGCCCTCACACTGTGGCCATAAACATGTTGTGCCTCATGGAATGGTTTGAGTTGGAAGGGACATTAAAGATCACTGAGTTCCAGCACAGAGCAGCTCTTTACTCCTCTGCATACAAAAGCTTTATCTCAGAGTTACTCAGCACTAAGGAAGAGTAAAATGAATGAACAGTGACCCTCTGGGTGCTCAGGCAGAGGAGCCTCTGGAGGGTGAAGGTGGTTCTGCTGTGGGAGGATCCAGTGGCTGGAACTGGGGGGTTTCCTACACAGAACTGGGGGGTTTTGTGGGGAGGAGTCTCTGTCATCCCTGTTTATGGGAAGGGCTGTTGAGTGACTGCTGATGGGGGTCCTGCAGCACCCACCAGGCACAGGGCAGTGCCCAGGGGAGGTGGCTGGAGGGGCCCGGGACAGGGACAGTCCTGCAGTGGCTGCCTGGATCTCAGCCCCCTCCTCAGCAGTTTACCAGGACCCTGCCGGGTTCTTTTGTTGTTGCAGAGCCTCCCTGCCCAGCCTGCAGCAGCCCCACCATGCAGGCAGACTCTGTCCTCCACAGCGGGTACTTCCACCCGGTGCTGCGCTCCTGGCAGTGCACGGCCACCACCTTCGACGCCTCCAACCTCATCTACCCCATCTTTGTCACGTGAGTGAGCCCTGGCTCTGGGCTGACTGGCTGGGTCCATCCCAGGAGCTCCCTGAGCTCTTCAGTAGGTTCAGAGTCCCTGTGCACAAGCCTGGGAGAGGGGCTTCCTTCTCACACCGAGTCCTGACATCTCCGTCCCCTCCTCCTCCCACAGGGACAACCCTGATGCCGTGGAGCCCATCCCCAGCCTCCCTGGACAAGCCAGGTACAAATCCAACCCCAGTGAGACACATGCTGGTCGCTGCTGGGATTTATGGCATGAGATGAGCATGAGCCAGGGGTGATGCTTCCAACCCTCTGGTCCCTACCTTGGGGATTCCCTGGGATCAGGCAGGGCAGGAACATCCATCCACTAAGGGAGTGGAGGGAATCATGCTGGGAATGCTGGGGAAGTAGCAGTACTGGGAGGGCAGCACCAGGGTGTCTCAGGCTGTCCCAGAGCACTCACACGTTGTGTGGGTTGGAAGCAAATGGGGTTTCCAGCAGCAGCCACAGAACGTGTGCAGGATGTGGGCTGTGGTCCTGCACTGGATCCTGCTGGACTGGCAGCTCCTGTCTCCATCTGCTGCCACATTAGCAGGGCTCTGGTCAGAGAGGCCCAGGGGGGTGGGCTGGTGGGGAGGTGGGCTGGATCTGCAACAGGGAGGCCAAGATAAGGAATCCAAGGGCAGGGCACAGCTTCTCCTTTCAGAGCAGCGTCCATGCTGGGCAGATAATGCTCCTGCAGCCCCAGATAAGGGCCCAGATTGTTCCTCCCAGTGTTCAGGCAACACCTCCCCTGTACCTCCAGCTGCTGCCTGGTGATGCTGGATTGCTCCCAGGGCAGCATCCCAGCCACAGGCAGCTCTTCCCAGGAGCAGGTGTGGGTGCCTGGCAGCTCCCTTCCCTTTGCCCTGCTCAGGTATGGAGTGAACAAGCTCGAGGGGATGCTGCAGCCCCTCGTCCAAGACGGCCTGAAGTGTGTGCTCATCTTCGGGGTGCCCAGCAAGGTCCACAAGGTCAGTGCCTGGTGGTGAGGGGGGCTTGGGGCAGCCATGGGGGTTGGGAGAGCAGTGTGGGGCTGAACCTACAGCCCACTCAGCAGAGCACATGGGGATGGGAGACTGCAGTGACACCCAAAAAGGCCCCCAGAGCTCTGCAGGTGGCCGCAGAACCTGCACTCACTGCCCAGAAGTGCTTCTCCATCACCCTTTTCCCTCGGTGCTGGTCACACCATCCCGCCTTAGAGGGTCCCACAGTCCAGGAGCTGTTTCCTGGGCAGAGCTGCTGCCACGGAGGAGCCGGGGGGACGTGTGGGCTGCGTGTGCTGAGGTGGTTGTGTTCCCACAGGATGAGAGAGGCTCTGCTGCCGATGCCGAGGGCACTCCTGCCATCCAGGCCATCAGGAGGATCCGCTCCACCTTCCCAGAGCTGCTCATTGCCTGTGATGTTTGCTTGTGCCCTTACACCTCGCATGGGCACTGCGGTGAGCACGGCCCGTGGGCCTGGGCTGCACTCCTGGTGTTTTCCTGGCTCTGGGAGTCTCCAGGGATGTGCCATTTTCTGCTGAGGGGCTCCATGTGCTGGTGGGTTCTGGCCAGCTCCTGCCCCAAGACCTGGCCCCCCATTACTGGTGTAGGAAGCTGGGAGGCCTCTCCTGGGTTTTGACAGCAGGGTGGGAGGGACAGGTCGTTCAGGCCCTCACTGTGGCCATCTGAGTCTGTCTGAGCCTTCCCTGGAGCACCCACACCTCCAGGCCCTGCAGGGCTCCTCATCCAGCTCCCTCAACACATTCCTCACTGCTGCTCTGAGCATCTCCACAGCTTGTCCCCAGAGCTACACCCCCCTGGGGACTGAGGCACTGCTGTCCCTGCCCTGGTGTAACCCTGGGTTTGTCTCCAGGTATCCTGCGAGAGGACGGCACCATCCAGAACGAGCTCAGCTGCCAGCGGCTGGCAGAGGTGGCACTGGCCTACGCCAAAGCAGGTGGGAGCCCAGGCAGGGACAGCCCAGCTGGACTCTGCTCGCCCCTCTCTCACTTCACACACGCAATCAACGAGGTTGGAAAAGACCTCTGAGATCACTGAATCCAACCTGTGACCCAACCCCACCTTGTCACCCAGACCATGGCACTGATGCCACATCCAGGCTCTGCTCAAACACCTCCAGGGACGGGGACTCCACCCCCTCCCTGGGCAGCCCATTCCAAGGGCTGATCCCTCTCTCTGCAAACAACTTCTGCCCAATGGCCAACCTAAACCTCCCCTGGGGCAGCTCAAGGCTGTGCCCTCTTGTCCTGCTGCTGGTTCCTGGCAGCAGAGCCCGACCCCCCCCGGCTCCCCCCTCCTGTCAGGGAGTTGCAGAGAGTGAGAAGGTCTCCCCTGAGCCTCCTCCTCTCCAGGCTGAGCCCCCCCCCAGCTCCCTCAGCCTCTCCTCACAGCACTTGTGCTCCAGACCCTTCCCCAGCCTCGTTGCCCTTCTCTGGACCTGCTCCAGCCCCTCCATGTCCTTCCTGAGCTGAGGGGCCACAACTGGGGCACAGCACTTGAGGGGTGGCCTCAACCAGTGCTGAGTACAGGGGCAGAATCACTGCCCTGGTCCTTTTCTGAGCAGACCCAAAAGCAAATTGGGCCTGATTCTAACTGGGACTGCTCCCCTGCCCTCCCTGCACTGGTCCCAGCAATGCTGCCGGCACCAGAACCTTTTGGTAGAGCCAAAGCCTCAGGTGCTTCCCTGCATCCCTGTCCTTCCCCGCATCCCTGTCCTTCCTGCATCCCTGTCCTTCCTGCATCCCTGTCCT